CCCCCTACCCCCCTGAGGCATGAAGGTATGGCATCTACGAGTTCCATTCGCTATACCGAATTTTCACTATACCGAATTTTCGCTATACCGAATTTCGCTATGCCGAATTTTTGGTATATCGAATTTTCACCATGCCGAATCTTCGCCATACCAATTTTGATAAGCGGTATGTTCCCAATTTTTTTTACTGTTTTTTTTCCAAATAGATGGGCCTAGAAAGTTAGAGTTAGCCTAGAAGTTTCCAAAAACGCAGGCAGATCGTGGGTCCCGTAGGCGCAGTAGATTTTCTGTTGCACCGCAAAGTCTCAGCCGATCTTAGTTATTAATATTAGTAGAGAATATTAGTAGTAAAGTAGCAAAAATTCGGCATAGCGAAATTCGGTATAGCGAAAATTCGGTAAAGTGAAAATTCGGTATAGCGAAATTCGGCATAGCGAAAATTAGGCATAGTGAAAATTCGGCATAGTGAAAATTCGGCATAGCGAAAATTAGGCATAGTGAAAATTCGGCATAGCGAAAATTCGGCATAGCGAAAATTAGGCATAGTGAAAATTCGGCATAGCGAAATTCGGCATAGCGAAAATTCGGTGGGGGGTGGGGGGGGGGTGGGGGGCGGGAGGGGGAAGAATCCCCGGGGGTCCCGGGGGCCCACCATCCCCCCTTTCAGTCCCCCCTCTGTCCCCCTAGGGGGGGCCCACCCAGGGTGGGCGGAGAAGTATACTAAAAATGTGGCTTTGTGTCGTCAGGGTATTGGCCTCGCTGGCAGGAATTTCAATTTCGGGGACTGCCCCAGAAATTATCATTTTCAAGGATTGTCAAGTGTGCCTGTTTCCATTCCGTTTTTTCCTGGTGGTTGGTCCTGTTTTTTAAAGGGGCTGGGAAGGCAAGGAGCTTATCTCACGCTTAGGAAAACGTAATGTACGGGCGTTATGGTTCCAAAAATTACTTACCTCATTTCGCGTGTCCTTTGCTAGTCATGCCTACGATATCAAATGTGTGTCGAAGTGGTAAGAAATTTAGAACTATGAAGGAGAAGACACTTTACTAGGGTGGTTAGAGCGAGAGAGTGAAGGAGAGATAGAGTGAGCGAGAGAGACAGAGAGAGAGAGAAGAGAGAGTCAGATATTGGTGCTCGCTCACTTGGCTTTTGGTGGTTTGATCTCTGGATGGTGACCGAGTGAGTGACCGAGTGACCACCGTGACCGAGTTTTGGCACCAATGATAGAGTGAGAGAGAGAGAGAGAGCGAAAATAAGAGTGAAAGAGAGAGAGAGAGTAAGGGCGTGAGAGAGAGAGAGCACAAGTTATTTCTATGCCAAGTCCAACTTCCCGTTTTTTAAATGGGAGCATGACGACGAGTTCCCATTTTTTTCTAGCTCTTTTTAATCGACTTTTGAAGGCGACTGTAAGCGTGAAAACTTGTTTTTGAACTTTCTTTCGCTATCTTCTAGTGTTTTCTAAAAATAGGCCGCTCCCAAATAGGGGGAACTATTTTCGTGGTTGCAAATCTTCACGTATCCCGGATTTCATAACCCTACGCTCCACAACAAACGACACAATGAAGAGGGAGAGAGAGAGAGAGAGAGAGAGAGAGAGAGGAGCGAGAGAGCGAGTACACATTGATATAGCCTTGTTTTTCAACCGATCAGGCGGCAGATGGGTGAGGGTAACATTTTGATCCGAGTGCAACTCAAAAAAGGGGCGGAGCCTAGGGTAGATCGGGCTATATAAAGGCGTAGTAATCTGCTATCCGTAACCCTGAATGGACAGACTACGCAGCACACCCTGTACCCCTACAAGAGCAACAACGAAGACCAAGATGAGCTACCACCGGACGGCAGAACCATGCAAGACAGCCCAGCTGCTCCGAGAGATCATCGAAGCGCATCAGGAGGCGGCAGTTGTCGTGAATATGAAGAAGCTGAGCATGTGGGTTAAGTTGAGCGGGGGCGTTTGCGAGGGACAATTGACTTGGATTTTGATTCAGAATTTAAGGAATTTGATGGACATTTGAGCGTAAAGTGGAACTTAACGTACTCGAGCTATTTTCCGATTTTTTAAATGCCAGCCAGGTGGGGAAAGTTTTGCGAGGACATGTGGTTTGGATTTTGGGCTTGATTTTCAGGTGGAATGAAGCGGGCTGAACGTAAAGTGTATGGAAGCGTAGTTTTAACGTTTTTTCGAATTTTTTGTCGTTTTTAAATGATCTTTTGCGTTTTATGAGCGACCAAGACTCTTTGCTCGCCTGCCGCGTTGAGAATTTGGTATTTACGATATTGGCACTATGTTTTTTCGCTCTCTTTCTCTCTCTCTCTCTCTCTCTCTCTCTCTCTCGCTCTGTCTTCACACGCTTTCGCTCATTGTCGGGCTCTCTCCCAAGTCATTTAAAGAAAGAGTAGAAGTTCGACCAAACAGAATAGTATAAAGTAATGGAATCTAACCGAAAGAAGAGAGAGAGAGAGAGAGAGAGAGAGTGAGAGAGAGAGACAAAAAGTCATGGAATCAAAGTGCAAAAACCTTTTAAAAACACGCCTAGCATCTGCTTATCACTGTTTTTTAAAAGTTCAAGTTCAAGCCCACTAGTCCAGCCTTATCCAAATCACGCTAATTTGTTTATCAACGCAGGTGTGGCGTGGGGGAAAATAAAGCGCGGCATTAGTGTCCGAACTCGGTCAGGGTGCATCCACCAAGAGATCAAAGCACCAAAGGCCAATGGAGTGAGCACCAATCTCTCTCTCTCTCTCTCTCTCTCTCTCTCTTCCTCTCTCTCTCTTGTCAAACTCTGCCAAATCCATGTTTCCATTAATTTCTTTTGATTCTGGCTTCATCCTTTCTTCTTTCTGGACAAAATCAGAGTCGAAAGTGCCCTCCGGCCAAGTAAGCCTATCATCCCCCAGTCACGCAAAAAAAAAACGATCGAATTCCAATCCTCGCGTTCGCGAAGCGATAAACAAAGCATTTGTCACCGCGTCGATATTATTAGATTTTTCTCGGGCGTTGGTTTTTTTGGCTTCCGCTTCACGTGGTTCGGGCGTGGAAGCCGGGTGGTCACGCATCTTTTCTTCGATTTTTTTGGCTTCTGCTTCCAAAAAATACGCCAGCCTCTTATTCCGCCTAGCTCCTCGTCAATTTACCCCATAAAATTCCTTGCGGTTTTTTAAAGGGACTAGGAAGTGGCAAAATCGACACGAGTAGCCAAAATTGTGGTATTCGAAAATCCGGACAGCGATGATCCCCCTGACAGCTAATTCCAACATCCAAAATCCCGATAGTCAAACACCTATTAGCCAAAATCCCGACAGCCGTAATCCCGACAGCCAAAATGCCGACATATTATTGGCGCTAGTTATGGCTGCCGGGATCTTGGTTGTCGGGATTTTGGCGTTTTGCTCTTGTCGAAAACTGCACTCCGCGTCAAATCCTACATAAAAGAAGTGTGCGTTCGCTCGACCAAAACCAATTTTCAGTACAATTTTTGGCTCGCCATGTAGTTGTCTAGACCTAGTCCGGAATAGGGACCGATTTTCGCACTTTTCAGTATCTTTAAAGTGCACAACAACCCAGGGATTAATGAATTCTGACGGCTTTTCGCGTGCTATTTTCGCAAACATCTCTTCGATCCCTCCTGATTTCATCTCTGACTTTCTAGCCATTTTTTAGAATTCTCCGCATTCCGTGACCCTCTATCCCATTAGAAATTCTACTTGTTGCGGCCCGAACTCATCCCGAGCGCCTCATTTGGATGCAAAATCCACCCGGGACCACCCCGGATTTTGGCGACTTTTTCCGGGGTTCTGGGAGTTTTTAGAGCGGCTTTTCGGCGACGTGTGTCGGAATTTTAAAGTTTGCCTTGTTGAATCTATGGAATCTACAAGATCCTTGCCTTCCGCGTTCCTTTAATTTTCTAGAAATCCCGGAAATCGACCCCTGAGGGCCACTAGGTCTCGACAGCAACGCAGTAGATCAAAACACGCACGTAACGGGTTTCCAAGAGCTATTAAAAAGCCGTTAAGCCTATTTTGGCGTGTCGCGTAGCTGGCGAGACCTAGTGGACGGTAGGGGTCGATTTGGGTCGACTTACGCTTAAGTTTTGGGCTTGGGCTTCGCTTAGGCTTAATCCTAGGGTTTAGGCTCAGATTTAAGGTTGGGCTTGGGCTTCTCTTAGGCTTAGGCTTAGACTTATGCTGAGGCTCAGGCTTAGGCTGCGGCTTCAGTTTTCGCGTTTCCGGTCCCTTCAAAGACTAAAACAATCGCCTCGATTTTTGATCGTTCCCGGCAAAGAAAGGGTGCTTTTATGTTCTTTTCCGTCCTTTCCAATTCCACGGCTTCTCCCCCCTCCCTCCCCTCTGCTCCGTCACAAGACTCCGCCCCCATCCAGCGGTCCAAAGACGGGGCAGAGCGGGGGAGATGAGAGAACATTTTGAACCCGATACGATTCCCCATTCGCTGCTGGGTGTGGGTGCGAGCGGGCGTCTTCCCGGCTTTTGTTATCGATCTAAAACGCTGGAAATGATTTATTAAAATAGAAAAAACGAAATTGAAAACTTTATAACTTCATTCTAGTCTGTAATTTGTAGTCTAGTCAGGTTATTTTAGTTTAGCTTACTTTGTAGTTTAATAGCCAAAACTACCTTCGAAAAACTGAGTAGCTCCTTGCCTTGGAAACTTTCGAAAAAGCGCAATTTTCCTATTACAAAATTTTAGAAAGCCTGAAAATCGATAATAGAACCTTTTGATGGTAGAAAAAGCTACTTGAAAAAGTTAAATTCTATACCTTAACCATGTTCCAGCCTTAAGAAGCAAAAACGATATCCTTAAGGCTAAAAATTGGCCGCCTAAGCAGCCCTTAAGGTTCGTTTTATATCCTGTTAACAACATTCGATAGATTTCACCGTTCTAAAAATGATTTTAATTTCTATAAATTCATATTTTTACAAACTTTCTCATTTTTAAACATGTCACAACTCTCTTTTTCCCAGAGCTACAATGCCCATCGGCGCGATGCGACGCTCGGACGAGTCGGAATCGTCGAATTCTGATTCGGAGGGGTTGGTGGAGTGTTTTTCCCCTGACAAATGGGTGTCGCTTTTTTCAAAACATCTCCGACATGTGAACCACTCAATTCAGCTCTTCGCTTTCAAAAAAATCTTTTGAAATCGATTTTCAATATCCGGGTCTCGGGGTTGAGGAAATGGGTGTCATTTTTCGTTACAAAAGGGTTTTGGCTTTTTCTGCTACCCTAATGCTAAAAATTAGTATGACATTTAAAACGTAGTTTTGAGTTTAGTAATTTTATTGTTAGCTGTACGTTTAAGCCATCCGGCGGTATATTTTTTATACTGTAGTCGATAGGGAAGCCCGAAAACTACGATTTTTTTCACCTGGGCCCTTCTCATGTTACAAAGCGACCGTTCCGGAACGTTGCTATTCCCAGAGTTTCACTTTCAGTTCTCGTTCTCTATCGCTCTCTCTCTCTCTCTCTCTCTCGCACGCTCCGGAAAAGTCCGGAACAAAAAAAGGCAAAAGCGCCTCGGATTTGAATTTTTAAGTCCCACGCGGTGTTTCAGGGTCCAGAAATTTTTGAGGACTCAATAAGCGAAAGCATGGGGAACTAGAATCTAGTGAACCTGAAATCCTATTTTTCAAACTTGTTGTCGAAAGTTGCAATTCGTCGGATTCGTGTCTGAAACCTGAAATTTGCCCAAAAAGTTCATCTACGCCAGCCAGGAGCGGGCTGATTGACAGCCGGCCAAATTAGCCCACTTGTTTTCGCGCTTTTCAAGCCAAAAATTTGGGGCCAGCCAGTGGAAAATGCAAATGTTTTTGCAAAAGTGAACGGGGGGTGTAGTTTTTGATCTCGCCAGTGGAGGACACTCTTTTTGAGGGGATTCCACGAGTTTACTATTAGTCCACTAGCGAGTGGGGGAGGGGGGAGGGTGAAACCCTTTTGCCCTTTTTCAAGTGTTATTTTGACCTCAAAAAAAATTGGCAGAGTACCTAGAGTATTTGTTGCCTACTTTGGACTCTCGACGGGGTTATACTATTAATTTGTAGTTTTGTTCCATGAATTTTGGATGCCGTAAGCCTTTTTAATCAATTGAAAAGCCTTGGAAATCGCGTTCTATCCCTATAATCACCCTTGCTCTCTCTGTCTGTGTCTCTCTCTCTCTCGCTCTGTCTGTCTCGCTCTCTTTCTCTCTCTTTCTCTCTCTCGCTCGCTCTCTCTCATTTTCTCCCTCTCTCTCTCTCGCTCTCTCGTTCGCCTTCTCTATGTATCTCTCTGTCGCTCTCTCTCTCTCTCTCTCTCTCTCTCTCTCGCTGTTTCAGGATATGTTTTCCCCCAGCTAGTCTAATCTAACTCTGGGTGCAAGTGGCCGCTAGCTGAGTGTTTTTGTGTACGCTACCAAGCCTTCCAGCCTAAACCAAGCCCCGAGACAAAGAACTTGGCTTTAATTCTTGTTGAACAAAGAATTCAAGCCACCACGTGGGGCACTTTGACCCGTGTGGGCGATTTTTCGACTCCTTACACGCACTGGGCGACTCGCTATCAGTTGGCGGTGCGCGCGCCCGGCACCCGCAGGTCTCACCACCACCACCCCCAAAAATCCGCCGGTTTATCTCGGGTTTTTTATGGCGAGAGAGAGAGAGAGAGAGAGAGAGAGTGAGAGAGAGCCTTATAGATAGCTCCAAAGCGCATCATCACGCACCAAGAAACGCGATTATCTATCTGCCCGCGCTGGGCCCGACCCGGTTGACACATTTCCCCTCGGGATCGAGTTCCGTGTTTTTCGCTGAGCCGCACCCCCCGCGAATTTTTGGTCGCCTAGTTCAATTTCCGCTCGGCTTCCCTGAAATGGTGTTGAAAAACGAAAGGAAACGAAGAAACGGGAAGCTAAATGTCATTTTTGAGAACTTTGAGACGTTAAGAAACGTTTAAGAACGCCATGATGCCATGAAAAGCGAAGAGTGTCATCAAGACGTTTTCAAAAATGTTATTTACGTTATCTACAACCAGAAAACGGCTGTTTCAAGCCTAAAAACCGCTTGGAATTACGGATTCAGCTCAAAACAAATCGAATGGTTGTTGTTTTCAAAACTAAAAACCATCCAGCTTATTGAAAATTCACTTCCGAACCGTTTTTCGATGCTGTTGACAGCAGTCAGTTGTTTTTATTGTCTTGACGCTACAGAAAGCATTATTTTTACTGTTTTTTTGGCACTTCCGGTCCATTGCACCTATTTGATTGCAGGTTTTACGCTCTTTCCAGAGAGTAGTAAACCCTGTCTATTGTCGTGTAACGTACTAGGTATAATTCCTTGCGAGGAAGGCTATCTTCCGGTGAATTTTTTTAGTTGTAAGAACCGTTAAAAAAAAAATAATGGCCGATTTTTCGATCATTGACGCCGGGTCGTCTGATAAATTCGTTTTGGAACCAAACAATACTCGGTTCCAACTTTCGATCGGCTTTTTCTCTCTCTCTCTCTCTCCCTCTCTCTTTCTCTCTCTCCTCTCTCTCTCTCTCTCTCTCTCTCTCTCTCCCTCGCCTCTGAAAACTACGCGCCTTTCCTGTTGACGCTGGGAATTATATTCCGGCCAGGCCGAGCAGGTCCACGGCCCCGGCGCTGAGGGTCGATCTGTCTATTTTTACACGAAATTTTCGGGGAGCTGACGCATTTTTTACATTTTGTGAACGCCTTGAACTGCTTGAACTTGAGGTGTCCTGCAAAATGTTGCTTTCAAAGCATTTTTCACTTCGGAATCCCTTTAAAATTGTGTAAATTACAATCCCTACAAAAACGGGCCACGCAGCTGTACAAAAACAGCCGATCATAAGCCTGTTTAGCCTTTTTAATTCATGGTTCCGCCTGTTTTACAATAGATTTGGGCTAATCCTCTGGTAAACTGGAAGTTCAGTCAAAGACCGATTTTCCGCTAGATTCCTATCGACATTACCGCAGCTTTAATTATTATTTTTAATTTTTTTAAACGATGTTAATTCCAGAATGACGCCCGACATCAGCGACGAGTACGAGATCCACTCGTCGGCCACGGATGAGCAGTGGGGTGATCTGATTGGGATGATCGCTAATGAGGTCGGTTTTCAATTTTTAACGGTTTTTCCATAGAAAAGATGCATAAATTGGAGTGTAAAGGTACCTACGGCTAGTTACGGCTACGTAACACTAAAAAATTACGGTTTACGCTTAATGTAACCTAATGCTTTAAGGAATGGAAGAGCAGCGATGCTTCAACGACCCTACTCCTTCAACATCTACCCTCTACTCGTATTGTTATTGCCGTCAGAAAATCTGGTACGTTTTAACATTTTAACAGATTACGCCATGAAAATTATAATAGCTTTTTAAATAGCGTAGTCTATCTTTTTTTCTACGGCTTTAACCTGATTTTATGATCTTCACCGGTCTGATCTCGTCCAAAAAATGGCTTTTTGAAGCGATTCAGCTAAAAAATAGTTGCATTTTTCCGACTATGGTTCATACCGTAAGCTATTACGCGATCTGATGTCCGATTTCACGTTAAAACCCGAATTTCCAGACGAATCCTCTGTCTTCGGCCGTCGTGCCCGGAAACTGAGGTAGACAACGTGGCCATGATCGGCTTCTACTTGACGAAGGAGAAGGAGCGCGGAAAGGGTGTGAAATTAAAATTGTTTATTCTACCCTAGCTTTTAAATTATGTGCCTGTTACCGTAGTCTTGTTTGTTATTTTTCGTTTTCTAGCGGAAACCAAAAATTCAAACCCAAAAACCGAGCAGCTGATGGGATTGTTCTGCATTTCTTGTTTCTCTCTCTCTTTCTCTCTCCCTCCTCCCTCTCTCTCTCTCTTCCTTTCTTCTCGCTCTCTCTCCCTCCGTACCTAAATCGGCTTTCCGGTCACGTTGACCCGGCGGAAAAGCATATTTAAGCCGCCCTAATTTGCATATTTCAGGCATCGGCCGGGCGGTGTGGCACCAAGCTTCCTCGAATGCATAGATCGAGAGAGAAGCGCATCATCGTCGTGAGGAACGGGTGGGGTAGATTTGGAACGCTACAGAAATGCCTTTAAAACTCAAAGTCCGGTGGCCTAAGCATGTGTGTGGGAGTAGAGGAAGTTAAAGGCCGGAAAGCTTGAGTCATTTTAAAGTCCCAAAAATTCATTTCCACGTGGGCTGCTAGCGCATCAGTTCCCCAAAAATTCGATCGTCGCGTGAGTCAGCTACACGGGTGCAAAGAGAGGTGTCACGCGTACAGACCACACTCACTTTCTGCCGTCTTCTGCTCGTCTCGGTTCATCGATACCCACACCCGGCCCTACCCCCCACGTGGTCCTCCTCTTTCTCCTGCGAGTTGCGGTCAGCCCATTTTTCTGATAGGCTTGATGACGATCGTTCTCTCCTGGCCCTCTCTCTCTCTCTCTCGCTCTCTCTCTCTCTCCTCTCCTCTCTTCTTCACGACGCATTTCACGTGCCCTCCACGATGCACCCCTGGCCACCGATCAGTCAACTCCTGAGAGCGGGTTTAGCCGCCCGGAATTAGGGGGTCGTCGTGAATTGTGAACGCGTCCAGATGTCATCTGTAAGTAGTGTGCACCCGGAATGTGAAAGCCAGCGTGGATTCCGGTTGAAAAAAGGTGGACCGGAACCGGAAGCTGCAGATGGAGTATCAGGAGGTGAAAGGCAGGCTAGCAGGAATTTTTGAAAAACATCTGTTCGGGTGCAATTTGACAGGGCATGCTAGCAGGGCGTCTTTGCGGAAGTCGGCCGTGTTTCACCACTTTTCTGCAAATGGCGTCTGGCTTAGCTTAAACTCAATCCCAGGCGATCTAGCAGAGATTCTTTGTTCTCCAATCGATTCTCTCGAATGATTTGGTCGAGAAAAGCAAACAATTCTCGATTTCCAAAACGCTCCTCCCTGACGTCGGGGGTAAAACAACTTATCGCGTGTTTCAACTCGTTAAACGTGAAAATGACGCATGCGGTTTCTCTCTTCCTCTCTCTCTTCCTCTCTCTCTCTCCTCTCTCTCCTGCCCTCTCTCTCCTCCTCGCCTCCTCTCTCCTGCACTTGTACCATTCCATCCGATCCTC